TTTCTCTCTAAAGAGGCAACACCTTGGAGGGTACATCTAGCAATCCTACTACTCCAAGGTCACTCATTTCTTCTACAATCTAACCTTGGTGAAGAGACTTAGAGGTTCTCAATTTTGGGAACTTAGAGAACCTATTCTTCCATCCAAATCCATGGATCTAAGAAGCAAGGAATGAAGGCCCTATCTCTTTGGGTGATTAGCCTTTGCTTATGCAAAGAGGAATCTACAAAGGTATTAATTTCAACTCACTTTGTTTTGAGTTGATTATTGGTTCACCAATCTACTAGGCTTTGAATTTCATGGTAATGTTTTGTTTTTGAGTGCATACAAGCATGATTCCGCCTTTAATTGTTAATTGCATGCTATATGATGTTGCTCAAATGAACATGTTTTCCCAAAAGATTTCCTTCAAATCTCTGGCCAGAGTATGAATGAGATTTAGGAAGTCGTTCCAAATCACATTCAAGGTAATCATATAAGTAAATGAATCACATTGGATAGTAGACATGATTAAACTATCAAACCAAACAATGTGGTTAAGAGTATTATATTAGAGAAACACCGTATTGCATTGTAATCCTAAACTGAATAGGTTCTTCACCTCTTCTGATTAGCTTAGGTAACCATGACTTACTGCTAGGTGTCACTCATGGTTTGTGGAAGCCCTAAACGTGTATAATCACTAAAGGGAGAATTGAAAGTAAGTTTCAATTCACAATCGATCGTTAAGAGTAACAATTACCCACTGCCTTGCTAAAAGGAACCTAATGGATCGTACACCGTGTAAGGTAGAGATTGAAGAAACAACGGAGATGAGTAAGGATAATTAAATGGTTTAATTATTTATGGCTATGATTAATTAATATGTTAATTAATCAAACGAATAAGTTCGTTATAGACCTAAGATTAGTTTTGGGCCGCAAGGCCCAATGAGATTTGAATGTCAAGCCCATTAACTTAAGTTGTATGACAACTTGAATGAACAAAGGGCTTGAAAGCCCAATAAACCCTTAAGGCCGGCCAAATAGAGGAGGGTAGTGAACTTGCTTTAATTGCAAGTTTGCCACTCCATTATGGGGTGGTATAAAAGAAACTTTATAACCATTTCATCCTTAGGGTTTTCTTTTAGGAAAGGATGAGAACACAATGCTCTCCTTTTCTCTCTAAGAGGCCGGCCCCCTTGAAGGAGATTAGCTAGCAATCTCCTATCCTCCAAGGTCACTCATCTCTTCTTCAAGTCCCTCCTTGGTGTGGAAAAATTATAGGTTCTCAATTTTAGGAACTTAGAGAATCCTTTCTACCATCCTCCTCCAAGAAATCGATGGAACTAAGAAGCTAGGAATGAAGGCCCTCTCCTTGGGTGATTAGCCTTTGCTTATGCAAAGAGGAATCAACAAAGGTATAAAATATCTCAACTCACTATGTTATTGGGTTGAGTCTTGGTTCACCTTTCTACTAGGCTTTGAATTTCATGGGTAATGTTTTGTTTTTAAGTGCATACAAGCATGATTCCGCCTTTAATTCTTAATTGCATGACATAGATGTTGCTCAAATGGACATGTTTTTCACCAAAATTTCCTTCAGATATAGTTACAGAGATTGACATGTAAGTTCCTGAAGAATTACATGGACTGGTTCAAATAGTTCCAAAACCACGGAAGACCCTCTTAACTTGTTTTGAGGCGTTCACTACAATCTGACGGAAGTGGTATACCCGTCTAAGTGATTATTTGATCAATCAGGGATATGAATTATGCCCTTGCATGTTAAACTGCATGTTAAACTATGAAGTCTTATTCCAAATTTCTAGAGTTACAGTTTATGTCGTTGACACGAATCTCACTAAGACTCCGGAAGAGCTTGAGAAAACTGTTTCGCACCTGAAAATGGAATTTGTGATGAATGATCTTGGAAAAACTCGTTTATGCCTTGACCTGAAGTTGAAGCATTGTTCTGACGGTATTTTGGTCTACCAGTCGAACTACACCATAAAGGTGTCACTCTGAAGTATACCTTTGATCGTCCCTACGTTATATGCAAATGAGACCCTTGAAGAGGTTATGGAATCCGAAATTCCATATCTAAAGTTCAACTTTGCGCTTTGTTGTACTTAGCTCATTGTATTTAGACAGGACATCTCATTCGTTATTGATCTTGGTAAAGATGTAGCACCACGCCTACACGCAATCACTAAATTGGTATTAAAGACGTACCATGAAGGTACTACGAGGGCAAATCCCAACATATCTCGAGTGGGTCCAACCCCCTGATCCTCGGAATGATGTTTGCCTTGTTTGTTATGCTGACGCAGGTTACTTATCGAACCTGCACAAGGCAAAATCCCTAAATGGTTATGTATTTACTGTTAAAGATATCGCAATATCTTGGAGGTCCACGATATGACCTTAGTTGCAAAATCTTCGAATTGTTCCAAGACTCACCGCACTTCACTACGCCACAAGTGAGACATGGTTAGGAGTTCTTGTTGAGCATATTCGAAGTACTTGCTATTTTTCATCCATCGTTGAGTCCTAACGACGATCTATGAAGATTATGCCGCATGTATCAACCCGACCAAGCCATGATACATCAACCAAGTCAACACCAAAACATATTGCGTCTACATCACATCAGCAAAGCATTATGAGATTGAAGTCATGCAAGCCGATCCCAGACAACCTTGCCGACCTCTACATGACGTCACTGCAGAAGTCAACATTCCAGAAACTTGTCTGAGGAATTAGTATGCCTAACTATCATATGCAATGCTTGTAGTTCTCATTTGAAATATGTCAAACTTAGGGGGAGTATCCAAAAGTATACTCACTTGAACTTAATGTACTCTTTTCCCCTACGATTAGGAGCATTTTTTCCACTGGGTTTTTGCTACCTAACTAGGTTTTAACGAGGCACTCATCCTGGGCTGATCATACCCTTGTGAGCTCTTCTACTTTCGTCCAAAAGATGTATAGTTTTGACTTAATATAACTTCTCATTTTTCTCCTTATACTATGAGTTTTTCTCCCACCTTGGGTTTTACCATAGCGAGGTTTTGTGAGTTTTACCTTTTTATGCATTCTTCCGTTAATATGAGACTCGCATTTGCTCATTGTACCGACGACTTCATCAACTGTACTTGCTTCATCACTAAAGACATGATGCACAATTTACTTGAGTATTTACACACTCAAGGGGGAGTGTTGCAGTCTTATTACATTAGGAATGCGATTATGTAAATCCTAGTATATCTTGAAATATCTCTTATATTCCTATTAGGAGTTGATTACCTATTAAATATTGTAATCATAAATGGAAAGGTTTTTACCTATCCTACTACTATAAATAAAGGCACAATGGAGTGGAATAAAATACACCCACAATTACACATCTCTCTTCTTTTCTCTGTATGCCGCACCCTCTCTCTATGGCCTCATTAATTGTTCAGTAAATTATGCCTACAACAAAGTTTTATTAAATTCTTACTTTGTCCACTAACACTTTAGGTTTTGCAGCCCCCAAGGACTTAGTAACTAGATTTCAGTGACGTGCATGGGATCTTGGCGGTTCTGACATCTAATCCAATTAATACAGAAAATTTATTTCATGTTAATAGTGTAATATATGGAGTGCAAGTTCAGTGTAATGGAGGCCCAAATGACTCTAAGTAGTTGAATCTAACGGAGGACATGATACAAAACCTAGCGTAATAAAGTTCTAGGATTTATATAGTAGACCCCACTTAGTGAGAAAAAGGCTTTGTTGTTATTGTTAATAGTGTAATATCCATCCTACTCAGGATGATAATATTCTTTCCTATAGTTCAATGTTATGTATGGCTTCGACACTGCACGCATTTGTGATAAGGGTTCATCCTGCACTGTGTGCTGGGCATCATGTTCGTTTGGGAAATTGCTTTTGAGAATTGGATTGGGCCTGCTGGGCTGAGAGAAGATTAAGCCTTGGGTCTTCTGTTGGTCGCAGGGAGCACCTTCGCTTTTCCTTTTATTAAAAGGAAAACTAATGAAAAGGGCTTGAAAACTTTGAGTTTTAATGATAAGGACAAAATAAAGGGTAAAGTAAATAGTACCAAGATTGACTTTTTAGTGTAAAAATGTGGTTTTTCGTTAAAGTGAACAGTACCGATGCTTTTCATTAAAGTTCCCTTTATTAAAAGAAAAAAGAGAGAGAAAAAGAAAGGGAAAACTTGTTGAGGGGGGAGCTGCTAGTGCCAAGAGAGCCGAGACTCCTGAGTTCCACCGACCGTCGAGAGTGGGTGTGAAAACGAAGACAATCTGTTCGCTCCCTAAATCCGCCATGGGGCCTTGCGGGCAAGCTGGAGATTTACTTCACATACGAGATTGGTGGGTGCGGGCGTGCCACTACTAGATGCCGCTAGTAGACGGGATTTGAATGATTGAGGTTGCGCCTTTTGACTTCAAATCAAGAGATTGTGCCATTTGAGTGGGAGTTGCTCAAATTAAGGTTCTTTGTTTGCCTTAAAAAATAAGGACTTTACTTATATGGAGAGATAGAACAATATGTAAATGACAAGTTTGCTTAGAAATATAAATGACAGAGGAAAGTGACTAATATTGCAGATTGCTTGTAAATTAAATGACTAAAGATGAGTTGTACATGAAAACTACAAAGGAAATCGATACTGCAAGTGAGCAGTAGAGCTAATAAACTAGACAAAAGATGGCTTTTGTGAGGGCTGATCCCGAAAGGGATGAAGGCTTGGGCTGACTACAGCTTCGTTGAAGGCAAATCTGGCTTGATCAGAGTTTGTGCTTGTATTTGTTTGTTTGTTTGAGTGTCCATAATCCTTGTGCATCTGCTCCTTTTTATAGAGGTATGGAGGAAACCCTCCTGCTGAGGTTTTGTACCTGCCCGAAAGAAGCTTGGGCAGCTTGCATTTCCTTTTGCCAACTTGCATGTAGAAATAATATTAAAAAGGGATTTGCATCTCCACCACATGTTTTTAGCACATGTTTTCCCACTTGTAATAAACTAACATTTAAAAGAAACAAGTTGACTTCTTTCACATGTTCCTTGCCCGAAAGCTTGCTGATGCCTTTCCATCTACTTGCCAAACATGCATGTATCTTGATTAAACAATGCTTGACAAATCTCCACCACCAAAACAAATTGGAAGAACAATATTATAGTGTCCAACCCCTCCACTTGCATCAAAATATCTTTCTAAGTTAGCTTTCTTACATATTAATCCTCCAAATGCCATATTTTACCCAAATTTTACCCAAATTGCCCAAATAAGTAAAAATGGGTATATTTTGAGTGGAGACACAATCATCAATGGCGGGCGTATCGCTCAATTGCGGCGACTGTGGGACTCTGCTGAGGTCGGTTGAGGAAGCCCAAGAGCATGCCGAGCTCAGCTCCCACTCCAACTTCTCTGAGTCCACGGAAGCTGTTCTCAATCTCGTTTGCTCTTCCTGCGGCAAACCTCGCCGATCCAAAACTGTATCTATACTTCCTTCATCGAATTTCGAGTTTTTTTTTTTTGGGTTATTTCAACTTTTTTATTTCAAAGGATTTGCTTATCTGGGTCAGCTTAATTTTCATATGCATTAGTTGGATTAAGATAATTGATGAATTTGCTAGTGGATTTCGGAACTTTTAATCGGATTTTATTCTCTATCGGAATTTCAATTGTTTTTTCTTTCAAATTTCGCCTTTTTCGTGATTTGTTTATCTTGTTCGGTAGAATTTCAGCTTAATTTTCATTTGTATTAGTTTGAATTCAGTATTTCTATTGTTAGATTAAGATATGTATTGAATTTATCATTAGATTTTGAAACTTTTTATTTTATTGCTGGTGGATTAAAATTCAGTTTCATTTGGATTCGAGAGTTTTTTTGAAAGATCTTTTGGTTATTTGGGGTTAGAGATGAGATATGTAGTAGGGTACCGAGTTAAATGAGTGATTACAGCAGAGGTTTATATTTGGTCGATTGGAGATTAGAAGCCTGGGCAATAATGCAAATTGTTTTGGTGCTTTGATTGTGCAGGAAAGTGATTTGCACACCAAAAGAACAGGGCGTACTGAGTTTGTTGATAAGACTGCGGATGCAGCTAAACCAATAAGTTTGGAGGTTCCAAAGGCTACTCCTTCAGGGTCCAAAGAGGCTGTTTGTGCAAGTAGCCATGTGCCAGAAGGTACTTCTTCCAGTTCAGTGTGATGTAAAAGCATGAAATTTGTAGTTTAATGTTTTAGTTACAAATAGGTTGTTATTTAGAGGTCGCACTTGGTGCGATGGCAAGTGCTTTCGCCCATGAGCGGTAGGTCTCGGGTTCGAGACTTGGGAGCAGCCTCTCTATAAATGGGGGTAAGGCTAGCCGACATTCACCTCTCCCAGACCCTGCGTAAAGCGGGAGCCTTGTGCACTGGGTACGACCTAAATAGGTTGTTATTTGTACAGTTTTAGGTAGATCTTACATTTCTGTATGAGTTTGTTGACCTTTTGTAACGATAACTAGAGGTTTGCTGTTTGGATGTCTTACCACCCTAAAACGTAGCCACTCACCCGGGAATAATTCCTGCTCAGATCTTAATCTTAGACTTTTTCTCTTCTACGACATCCTTAGTCATGTGATTGTTACTTTCTTTGTGCCTTTTTGTGCATGGTTTCTTGCTATTGGCAAGCCGGTTTTGTTTGAAGGGGCTTTGGTTCCTTTTGGATTGATTTTGTACCTTCGGTAGTCGATGACCTTTCACATTGGTTTTATTTTTTTCTTTTCAAGGCAGATCATGTAGTTATACTCAAATTAAGAATCTAAATATATGACACATGTAGTTCTAATTGTTGTTTTGTTAATGGTCTTTCTTAGCCATCTTTCTTCGAAATTATTCATCGGGAAGGTTGTCACAGTCAGGGCTTAAAAGTAATGGCTGTAGATCAACATGGAGAATGAACTTTAGTTTTTCTACTCAATTCCTGAATCAGGCTTTATAATCTGTATATTTATGAATGGAAACATACTGCCATTGTTATTTTATTTCTTGATGTTTAGTTATTTTGGCTACTCTGGTTTATTAACTCTATTAGTACCTGATTTATTCATTATTTTTTTCATCTAGAAATGGTCGTCCCGGAGGTTGACAAAAAGCTGCTTGAGGAACTTGAAGGAATGGGCTTTTCGACACCACGGGCAACCCGTGCACTTCACCATTCTGGTGAGATGATGATGAAAATAAAATTTTCTTTCAATTGACATTGAAGCTTCTGTCTCTAGGCTTGCTTTTAGTGGCTTTATTTTACTTTTCCCAATCTTTTGTTCCTTTGACAAAGATGGTGGGTTCCTATAATAATTAGGAGGCTTTTCATATCTATTATCATAAATATCGCCATTTCTAGGGGTTAAGTGTTGGAAAATATGATTTAACTTCTTTGGTTCTAGACTGAGGAGATGTCTTCTTGAGTAGAAAAGTTTTTTCAAAACTTAGAGTGTGATAGTGTCACAACTTCAGGATTTAGCTGTTCCTCTGATATTTAGGATGCAGCTTCATTTATTTATAATTTTGGGCCGTTCTTTCTCCAGCTGCCATTACACAACTGATGGTGGATTATATGAAATAAAACACATTTTATTTACAAAGAGGAATGAAGAAGCCTAAGAGGTCCATATAAGATAGAACCATAAACGTAGGCTTCAAAGAGGAAAGCACCAGAGTTTAAAGTTATGAAAGTTGCTCTGTGCATCTTTTTAATTTTCTTCTCTTATTCTTTTCTTTCACTTTCTTGATTTTAAATGATTGGATAGAAAAACCTGATGTGAACCAAAATGCGATTATGAGACAGAGGCTTAGGGAAAAAGGGGTAGAGCAAGACCTAGGGAGACTGTAAGAGACTTTAAGAAAAGACATGGGGTACTTGGAGCTAAAGGGAAGACTTGGCCCAAAACTGAGCTCAGTGGCGTTCTAGGATTCATACAGCTGATCCCACTTAGTGGGATAAGGCTTTGTTTTTGTTGTTGTTGGATCCCATAGTTTAGGCAATTCTTTGCATTCTGCTTAGTCTTGTAAAACTGGCGAGCAATAATTTTTTTTGATTGTTTATAGGGTTGTAAGTTTAATTTTCCTTTTGAAACTGTTAGACATGATATTAAGTTTGTGATCTTAAAATTTTAATTCTCTCTGCTTATAATTTTGGTTTTTTAGGCAACGCTAAAAATGGGGGTAAGGCTAGCCGACATTCACCTCTCCCAGACCCTGCGTAAAGCGGGAGCCTTGTGCACTGGGTACGACCTTTTAGGCAACGCTAGCTTGGAGGTTGCTGTCAATTGGGTAGTTGAACATGAGAATGATCCGGACATTGATGAAATGCCTTCGGTATGATACATTTATTTCGATCCTTGTTTTGAAATATTGCATCTCTCTCTCTCTCTCGCACACTGTACATATGCATGTTGTTTTCTTGTCTCTAAACTAATTTTATGAAGAAGAAAGAAGAACAATGAAAGAAAACGAGAGAAGTCGAAAAGGTGAAGCTCTTTGTAGAACAAAACTAACAGAGCATTTTTGGTTCCTTCATATCACTGTCTTAAAATTGCACACACTCGATGCTTACATTCAGTTGGAATCCAAGGTGGATTCACATTCATTACAAAAGCAATCTCAACCCTTCATCTAGCTATATGCTAGGATCATGACACCTGGCATTATTTGCCTTACAACTATATATCTTCTCACTTAGAATTTTATCATAAGTGCCTACACATTTTAATATCACAACTTATTTCAATAACAGCTATAGACTTATAGTTCAACACTCCCCTTTAAGTCTAAAGCTGATTTGACCCCAAGCTTGCTTCTGAGAAAATTAAACCGATCCTTGGCGAGAGACTTTGTAAAGATATCTGCCAATTGCTCTTCTGTGGGACAATAGATCAGATCAATGATGCCTTCCTTTAGTGCATCTTTGATAAAGTGATACCTCCTGTCAATGTGTTTAGTCTTCTGATGAAATACAGAATTCTTAGTAATTGCAATAGCAGAAGTATTATCACAGTGAAGAGGAGTAGCTTCAGTTTGTAATTCTCCAAAATCTTCCAAAACAAACCTCAGCCATATTGTTTGAGCCATGGCTTCTGATGCACTTACATATTCAGCCTCTGCAGTTGAGAGTGCAACATACTTTTGTTTGACAGAAGCCCAAGAAAATACACCACTACCAAATGAGAATGCATATCCTGATGTGCTTTTGCTGTCCTCCAATGAACCACCCCAATCACTGTCACAAAAACCAATTAAACAAGCTTTTCTTCCTTTTACATACTCCAGGCCATAATCCAAAGTCCCCTTGATGTACCTGAGCACCCTCTTTGCAGTTCCATAGTGCCTATTAGTAGGACAATGCATAAATCTTGCCAATAAACTTGCTGCATACATTATATTCGGCCTTGTAGCTGTAAGATATAAGAGACTTCCCACAATACTCCTATACATCTCCTCATTTGCAGATCCACTTCCATCATCTTTAGACAATTTCTCAGTAGCTACAAGAGGGGTTGAAACAGTCTTTGCTTCATTTAATCCAAACTTGCTCAGTAAAGAACTTGCATATTTCGTCTGATGAATGAAAATGCTAGAATCTGTTTGAATCACTCCCATCCCAAGAAAATGATGAAGAAGTCCCAGATCTGTCATTACATACTTCATCTTCATATCTTCCTTGAACTCTTCTAGCATTGACTTGCTACTACCAGTGTAGACTATATCATCTACATAGATGGAAACAATCAAAACATCTTCTCCCCTTGTCTTTATATATAGAGTTGGTCCACTCAAGCTTTTCTTGAAATCACATTGTGAGAAATGATTGTCAATTTCTCCATACCAAGCTCTTGGAGCTTGCTTTAGACCATAGAGAGCCTTATGCAGCTTGTACACTTTGTCCTCCTTGCCTTTTACTACAAAGCCTTCAGGTTGCTCAACATAAACCTCTTCTTGCAATACTCCATTCAAGAAAGCTGATTTCACATCTAACTGATACAACTTCCAACTCTTTTGTGCAGCCAAGGCTATCAAAGTTCTGATAGTCTCTAATCTAGCAACCGGTGCATAGGTCTCATTGTAGTCTAGACTAGGCTTTTGTGCATACCCCTTTGCAACCAGCCTTGCTTTGTTCTTCAACACTGAGCCATCAAGATTTAACTTTGTTTTGTAGACCCATTTAACCCCTATAACAGGTTTTCCAGTTGGTCTGTCAACAAGCTCCCAGGTGCCATTCTTCTCAATCATGAATAATTCATCCTCCATAGCCTTTAACCAAGACTCATCTTGTTTGGCATCCTCATATTTTTCTGGATCCATGACACACAGGTTGCATTGAGCCAACACATCACTCAGATTCCTCCACTTCAATGGTGTGTGATCATATGCTTGATTGACATCCTTATCCAAATTTAACATGCTTGCAGATTCCTCTGTAATGAGTGACTTGGATTGAACTTCAGAGTCTTCAATACTTAGCACTCTCCTAGATGGAGATAATGCAGATGATGTAGGAGATAGTACCAAACTGTCATCAATTCCTATGTTTGCATCATTATAAACAAAACTTCCTGTATTGTGAGTAATAGACTTTGAAGACTTTTCTTCCCAATTCCAGATAGCTTCTTCATCAAACACAATGTCTCTAAACAAAATTAGTTTCTTAGAGAGTGGATCAAATACCTTATACCTTTTTTCGCAGATTGCATATCCCACAAATACTCCTTTGAAGCCTTTTAGGTTCAAGTTTGTCTCTGTTCACTTGGAACATGAACATAACATAGAGATCCAAATACTCTCAGGTGGGCTATCCTTGGTTTTCTACCGGAATAAGCTTCAAAAGGTGTGATGTTGTTCAAAGCCTTTGTGGGACATCGATTTAGGATATATACAGATGTATGAACTGCTTCTGCCCAGAGAGAATATGGCATCCTCTTCTCATGCAACATAGCTTTTGCCATTTGAATCACGGTTCTGTTCTTCCTCTCCACTACTCCATTTTGTTGTGGAGTATATGCAAGAGTAAGTTGTCTTTGTATTCCTTCTTTTTCACAGAACTGATCAAATGCTGATGACTTGAACTCCCCTCATCTATCACTTCTCAGAGTCTTAATCTTGAAATCACTTTGTAATTCTGCCATAGCTTTGAATTTCTTAAAACAGTTGAATGCATCAGACTTATATCTCAAGAAATAGACCCAAATCATTCTGGTAAAATCATCTATCAGCAGCATGAAATACTTATTTCCAGCAATTGTCTCAGTCTTCATAGGTCCACACAAATCAACATGAATCAGTTCAAGTGGAGCAGTTGCTCTGTGCACTTGATTTCTTGGGAATTCTTCTCTGTGTTGTTTACCAAATTGGCAACCTTCACAGACTCCATTGTAGTCTGTAAGCTGTGGCAAACCATGTACCATTTCCTTGTCTCTCAATTGTTTGAGACCACCAAAGTGTAAATGTCCAAGTCTCCTGTGCCAAGTCTCAGTAGAGTGAGTGACACTAGCTTTCAACACCATTTGATTCTCAGAGAGCAAAGTCAGTGGATAACACCTATTCACTTTCTTTTTCACTCTCATAACCAAGCATTCCAGTGATGGACCATCATACACACTGCACATTCCACCTCCAAACACCAAGAAATATCCATGCTCATCCATTTGACCAACACTGAGTAAGTTCTCCTTTAAACTGGGAAGATACATTACTTCTCTAACATACTTTCTGCCTTTATTTGTATCAATAACCAATGATCCCATTCCTGCAACATTCACAAGATCTCCAGCCGGCATTTGAACTTTGCCAGCTACATTGGTTCTGACCTCAACAAGCAAATCTACATTTCCTGTCATGTGATTGCTACAACCACTATCTATGTACCACTCTCCATTCACCTTTGGTTCTGACTGTGTTGTTTGCATAAAACAGATTCCCTATCCTCTCCAATTGATTTGCACTGTTTGCCTTTTGCACTGTTTTAGCTGCAGTACATTCTCTAGCCCAATGCCCAAATTTGTCACAATTGAAGCATTTTGGTTTCCCTTTGTATCTACACTCACCAAAATGATATTTAGAACACACTTTGCATTGAGGTTTTGTGACTTCTTGACTCATTGATCGGGATACATTCAAATTCTGATAAGTATTTAGAGGAGATTTCTGCTGGAATTTAGGTTTTGATTCCCATTTCTTGCATTTAGAATTCCAGTTTCTTTGAGATCTGGATGAAACAGAGTAAACACCACTCTTATTTTGTTCCTTTTGATTCACAGAGAGAGAAGAGAATGCTCTCTCAGTTGCATTAACAGTATGCAAGTCAAACCGTTGTTCTTGGCTTTTTAAAATTGCAACTACCTCCTGCAACTCTACAGTCTCCAAACACTTTGTATTCTCGATAACTAGACATATGGGGTCATATGGTTTACTAAGGCTTATCAAGACCTTATGTACTAATCTCTCATTTGAAAGAATTTCACCAAACGTTTTCATCTGATTTATCACATCATTTAGCCTAGTAAGATACCCAGACAGAGTTTCATCATCACGCATTTTGGCATACTCAAATTCACGTCTCAGATTTTGCAATTTTACAGATCATACCTGATCACCACCGTGATATTCTCCATACAGCAAATCCCAAGCCATCTTTGCTGATTCAGCATTAGCAATTCGAGGGAAGATCTGATCCGAGACTGCATTCTGAATGATCCCAGAGCCTTTGCGTCTTGCATATATGCAGCCACAGTTTTCTCATCTTCTTCCTCTTCTGAACTTCCTTCAGCTTTCTTCTTCTCCTTTGAATCTGAGTTCGTAACTCCTTTTTCCACTAATCTCCATAACCCATGAGATTTGAAAATCGTCATCATCTTGATTCTCCAGAACTCGTAGTTCTCACTGGAGAAGATTGGAGTTCTCACCTCAGAACTTCCAGATCCAGCCATCTCTTAGCTTAGATGATACGAGCACAAATCGAAAAACAGGTTCTATGGAATTCCGGCGACTGTTCACCTAGCTTCGAGTGAGCTTCGATTCAGCTCAGAGAAATCACAGATTTTCGTCCAGACTCAGATGATTGAACTAGGCTCTGATACCATGTTGTTTTTCTTGTCTCTAAACTAATTTTATGAAGAAGAAAGAAGAACAATGAAAGAAAACGAGAGAAGTCGAAAAGGTGAAGCTCTCTGCAGAACAAAACTAAAAATCGAAAAACAGGTTCTATGGAATTCCGGCGACTGTTCACCTAGCTTCGAGTGAGCTTCGATTCAGCTCAGGGAAATCACAGATTTTCGCCCAGACTCAGATGATTGAACTAGGCTCTGATACCATGTTGTTTTTCTTGTCTCTAAACTAATTTTATGAAGAAGAAAGAAGAACAATGAAAGAAAACGAGAGAAGTCGAAAAGGTGAAGCTCTCTGCAGAACAAAACTAACAGAGCATTTTTGGTTTCTTCATATCACTGTCTTAAAATTGCACACACTCGGTGCTTACATTCAGTTGGAATCCAAGGTGGATTCACATTCATTACAAAGCAATCTCAACCCTTCATCTAGCTATATGCTAGGATCATGACACCTGGCATTATTTGCCTTACAACTATATATCTTCTCACTTAGAATTTTATCATAAGTGCCTACACATTTTAATATCACAACTTATTTCAATAACAGCAATAGACTTATAGTTCAACAATGCAAACACTTTGCTATACAAAAGAATGAATAGAGTGGGTATGTGCTTGCATATCTTTTCGGTGATGACATTAGTTCTATAATATTGGTCAAGGAAATATATTAAAAAAAAAAAAAGGTGTCGGGTTTTGGAGATATAAGGGGGTTTGACATCCTAGTGCTAACAGTAATACAAATAAACTTGTATAAATTTATCTTCTGGAAGCTCACTAATTTTCTTTGAGTGGTTATGGATTGAAAATTACTTTTGCATTATTTTGCATCAAGCTAAGTCCAGGAAGTTTTTATTTGGTTTGTTGTTGTGGTGCTCTTTGAATAACTTTATGAGGCTATGAATATGAACTTCTTGAGTCTTTGAGGAGTTCTGTAATAATGGTGTGGTAAATTCTATTACAAATGCAATTTTTAACTTAAATCCAAAACAAATATAATTTACTGAAAATTTTGACAAATATGATTTATTGAATTTTGAACTTGGCTCCTGCATCAGTAGGTGAAAAGAAAGGTTCGAAGAGAGATCGGTGGTAGGGATAATTTATGTTCGTTAAGAATTGTGATTTTGTTTGTGCTCAGGTACCAATAAACAGCAAATTTGAGGCTCCAAAACCTTCTCTCACGCAAGAACAATTGAAAGCCAAGCAACAAGAGCTTAGGTAGTGCTTCTTTATGCATTGTTAGTGTCATGGATGAGTTCGATCAGACCAAAAAAAATAAAGGATTAGAATTAGATTAGATCACTTGATGATACACAATTTTTGCTGATTTTAGATTCTGCTTGTCAGAATATTGATCTCATTCTTTTTCACGGATGCTGTAGTTCCAGTTTTGCTTGTTGAAGCTGATAATATTAGTATGTGCAAGGTTTAGAATTTAGATTGAAGTTTCCATTTACTGCTTTCATCTTATAACTGAGTGCTAGCTAATCACTCAAAAATTCATTCCCCCTAATCTGAAAAATGTACTCAGCTATTGAACGTTTTAATTGATTTCCAAATTTCTTTTATTTGAACTTATCTTCTTCTTGTAGCTATCTTTCTAATATATGTTATGCCATGTTTGCAGCATTTTAAAATATAAATCCTATACTTTTGATTAATTTTTTTTCTTTGACACTGCGGTTCTGGGCAATACTCATGTTTGAAAATTGCTTTAGACTCGCTTGGTACTTCTCACTACTTAATTTTTGTCTTCTAATTCTTTCCAACCAACCTTAAGGGAGAAAGCCCGCAAGAAGAAAGAAGAAGAAGAGAAGAGAACGGAAAGAGAGAGAGAAAAGGTACTTCTAAATGTCTGCCCACTTGTCCATACTTGCATTGTAGGAGTAATCTTTTGCAACTGTATATATGTGTGTGTGTGTGTGTCAGTCTCATCATAAAAAATTTGTATTGCAATCTTAAATACTCTCTCTGACCAAAAAGACAGATTCTTGGACATGCTTTTCCTTCTTCACCATTAAGTATTGTTTCTTCATGTGCCCCTATGAAATTTTTTAATCAAAACAATTGAGAATTTATAATATTTCTCCTTATTTTATCAAGACTGTCAATAAAAGAAGGATTTTCTGATGAGGTCGGAGACTCAGAGGTCCTTTTTTTTTTTGCTTGTGCAATTCAAGAAACATATGTTTAAATTTTAGTTTCCAAGATATGTATGCTCAAGTACTTCTGGTGGATTCATTTACTTCAAAAACTTATGAGGAACCTTCAGAAACCAGGACTATGTTTACGATATATGGTACAGCCTATCAATTTTCAATTTTACTAGTGTTTTCATCAAGTGCAATCCTTTCCTCTGTATGTGGTTCTTCAGGTAAGGATTCGCGTGGGCAAGGAACTCCTAGAAGCGAAGAGAATAGAAGAAGACAATGAAAGAAAACGGTTTATCTTCATCTACTGAATCTTGTGTGATTGATTATTTCTTGTGCTTGTTTTCCAATCTACCATTTAATGACATCAAATGTCATTTTCCCTCACATTACATGAATTTGTCTTCCATTGGCATGGAAATGTTTCTTTGTGATAGGATTATTGCTTTGGGAAAAGCGGAGAAAGATGAAGAGAAAAGAGCTAGGGAAAGGATTCGTCCTTTTTGCGTTGGTAATGGATGAGTTAACAGGACATATTCAAGATGATATTCCTTGGTGTATGCTTTTCGCAAACGATATAGTGTTGATAGATGAAACTCAGGAAGGGGTAAATGCAAAGCTTAACCTTTGGAGAGAAGTGTTGGAATCTAAAGGTCTTCGCCTAAGCCGATCAAAGACAGAATATATGGAGTGCAAGTTCAGTTCAAATGGAGGCCAAAACGAGTTAGGGGTGAGGATCGGAGATCAAGAAATACCAAAGAGCGACCGTTTTCGTTACCTAGGATCTATCTTGCAAAAGAACGGAGAATTAGATGGAGATCTCAATCATAGAATACAAGCTGAATGGATGAAGTGGAAGAGTGCATCCGGCGTGTTGTGTGACTGCCGTATGCCACTGAAGCTCAAGGGAAAATTTTATAGGACGGCAATAAGGCCGGCGATGCTGTATGGCACAGAATGTTGGGCGGTGAAGCATCAACACGTACACAAAATGGGTGTAGCGGAGATGAGGATGCTTCGTTGGATGTGTGGGCACACGAGAAAGGATAAGATTAGGAATAAGGATATCCGGGGTAAAGTAGGAGTAGCCGAAATTGAAGGAAAGATGAGAGAAAATCGGTTACGGTGGTTTGGACATGTGCAAAGAAGGCCTACTGACGCTCCGATTAGAAGATGCGACTATGGGACAGAGGTTCAGGGCCGAAGGGGTAGAGGAAGACCTAGGAAAACTTTGGAAGAGACCCTAAGAAAAGACTTAGAGTACTTGGATCTAACGGAGGACATGACACAGGACAGAACACAATGGCGTTCTAAGATTCATATAGCCGATCCCACTCAGTGACTTGGATTTTCCAAGTCTCCAACCGAGAAGTTTTCCTCACTCGGGAAATTAAGGGAACACTACCTCAACCTACATGCTCCACTCACAAAGCTTCAACATACAAGCTTCAACAAAAGAAATTCAAAGAACTTAGCGAAGAAGGCTTTGGTGTATTTAACACAATACGTTGAAATGAAGGAAAGCTTATTTATTGATATCCCCGATAAGTTACAAATATGTACATATACTTGAGTCAAAATAAACAAACAAGAGGGAGCCTTCACAAAGGTTGCTTAGGAGAAGTCTCAGCAGTTGATAGGAGCATATTTATGCGACTTAGTTGGCTTGTTCTTGTGCATTTATGTCGTGTTTCCTTAGTTATTTTAATGTTTAAAGTCATTTTCGTGTGTTTTCAGACTCTAAGTACAAAGTATGCAAGAAGATGCATTTTGGAGGCCTTTGGAGCATGTTTCGGGCTTGGAATGGATAGCAAATGCATGGGCCAAGTGGATGGACGAATTTGAGAACTAAAGAGGCCAAGAACATGAAGAATTATGGTCCAAAAGATGAAGAAAACAGCCCAAAAATCTGTCACCCCAACTTGCATTCCTTGCCATGCAAACCACATAGAATTCCCTTTGGATTCCATGCCATGCTTGATCACTCTTGTCCCCTACATAATTTCTAATTTCATGCTTCAATTCATTTAATTATTACACTCAATTGCTTGATACCTCTTGTTCCCTTCACTCATTAGATTTTAGACAACATTTACATCCATTACATGCACCAATTGATGCTCCATCATTCACATTTGGAATCCCATGCCTTGTGTACCACATGTTGCTGCACCTTTGACCCATTTATTGACACATTTTCACCTCCCTTTCCATCTCTATGCAATGTACACAATCATTCATGCCCCCTAGCTACAAGACCACTCCATTTTACCCTTCACACTTTGCATCATCACTTCATTTTCACCCTTGGACCATTGCACACCACACACACAAATTGCCATGCATTTCATCCTTAACCTAACCTGATTTTCTAAGGTTTTTTGGGGCCTATAAATACATGTTTACACCCCTTGGCCAAAGGACAATCCCCCATATTCATCATTTTATCACAGAAATTCGTCCATACACACCCTAGGAAGCAAAACACCCCAAAAACACCATTCTAGTGCCTAGAAAACATAACAGCCACTCCACCTTCTTCCACCCTCTTTGCCTAGTTCTCTACCACTCCCCAACCATCAAACACTCTTCCACTCTCACCCTAAACCCTTCCACAAAATTCCCCATCCATTCTACACCATAAATCCAACCAAAAATCTGTCCACAAGCTTCATGCCGCAAGCAAGGGAAAGGAGGAATCTTGGATGCACTTGCTACCAAGTTGGAGCATTTTAGGTGTTTTCTTTCCTTTGATTTTAATGTCTAATTTTATGTATCTTTGCTTTGTGAGTATGAGGAACTAAACCCCTCTTAGTTAGGGGGTGATTCGAAACCATGTACATGCTTGCAATATGATTTGATTACATTCAGTTGTTATTTCATAAGTTGCGGATTCAATTCGTTCATCTACTTGATTGATAACTTATTTGTGTATGTTGATTGAGAGTGCACGCTTAGTTTTCATGCATGAATATGATGATGCTAGATTATGAGGGAGTTTCACCTAATAGTTACAATCTTATAATCACAAGTAGTGAAGGTCGCTTGAAAACGATCGCGTTGAATGAATTCTTGGCACTAAGTTTCATGCTCATTCATAGTAACGAATGCCTTCGTCAATGCACTTATAGTTCTTCATTGAACTTCAATGATTCTTGCTTGTATCTTTATTATGCTCATTCATGTAAGGGAACCTTGTGAGGAATGCTTTTGAATTGTTGTATGCAAGCTTTTCCATCCAATTCATTAACTTAAGGAGAAACTTGAGGGTTAATTTAAGCGTATCTAATTAACTTGGGGTGTTGAGTATTCATAATTTATTGAAAGAACAACTGAAAATCATTTTGTTTGCAAGTGTGACATGTGTGGAGAAGAACCTCCTAACTAGCCTTTTATCCATCATTTTCATCCAAAAACGTTTTTACAATCTGTTTTGTTTTAAAGTTTCTGTTTTGTTTTCAAATTTTCGTCCAAAACAAATCCCCCTTTATTTTGAAGTCTTAGATTAGTTAGAAAGTGTTTTGATTTGTGTTTCTAAGTGTTTTGATTCAAGTTTTCATCCAACTTCGTCCAAGTTCTTGTTAGGTTCTCAAAACTGCCCAGAAAGTGGTTTTTAGGCAGTTTTGAGTCATTAGGTTGCTGTTTTGAGTTTTATTTTGTTTAAGTATTTTAAAGTATAGTTTTGCATTCTTTGAGTCTAGTTTAGTGTTTTAAATTTTGTTTTTATGTTTTTAAGTCAGTTTTCAAGTGTTTAGCAATCCCTCCTAATCCCCGGCCTAGAACGATCCCTACTTACATACTTTACTACATTTGATAAAAAGAGGGTTTAATTTGTGTGTCAAGTAATTCTCGCATCAAATTTTGGCGCCGTTGCCGGGGATTAGCAACTTTGCTAATCTCTTGGATTGTTTTCTTTCGAATTATTGTATTTTGTTTAAGTTTCTGTTTAAGTTGCTGATTTGTTTTGTTTTCTTTGTTTTTAGGTACTAGTTTATGACCCGTAGCTCACAACCTGTTCGTGAGCATATCTCCGACTTTGACGGTGATTTTGAGAGAACTTTGAGAAGGAAAAAGAAATTGCAAGAGTCTAATCCTCCTAGTCCTGAGCCTGAATTAGAAGAGCAAGAAGTTGAGGTTGAAGAGAAGGCCACGACACAAGTAGGTGGAGAAGAGCAAGGTATAGCCATGGACAACCGTACGCTCAAGGAGCTTGCCGCCTCGGGTTTGGATAATGCCGCACCATTGTGTATCCAATATCCCATGGCTGCTCAAGGTAAAACCGAAGAGTTCGAATTAAAGTCAAGTTTGCTCCACCACATTCCAAAGTTCCATGACTGTCCATGGAGGATCCGAACAAACATTTGAAAGAATTTGAAGTGGTGTGCTCAAGTATGACTCCGGTTACCGTTGACGGAAGTATTTTAAAGATGAAGGCTTTTCCATTCTCTTTAATGGACAAAGCCAAGGATTGGTTATACGAGTTGGCTCCCGGTACAGTTACATCTTGGGAGAGTATGAAGAGGGCGTTTCTGGAGAAGTTTTTCCCAACTTCTCGCATCATTCTTCTTCGTAAAAAAATAAGTGGAATTCAGCAAAGCCAAGGTGAATCTTTCCCATCTTATTATGAACGATTTAAATCACTTGTTGCTTCTTGTCCACATCATCAGATGAATGAGGAGCTACTTCTTCAATACTTTTACGAAGGTCTTTTACCACTTGAACGGCAAATGTTGGATGCTTTCGCGGGAGGAGCTCTAGTGGATAAGACACCTAGGGATGCCAAAACCCTCATTGCGAATCGAGCACTCAATGCACAACAATATGAAGGTGTTGGGCAAAGAGACACCCCACGGCCACATCATGTCAATGAGGTAAGTTCTATTTCTGAGTTACAATCCCAAATGGCTAACCTTACGTCTATGTTATCGCAGTTGGTTGAAGGCCCCAAAACGCAAGGAACTACAATCTGTGGTGTATGCTCCATTCAAGGACACCAATCTGATCAATGCCCTCAATTAATTGAGAATGGAGGATGGGAATCGGCCAATGCTATAGGTTATGGGAATCAAAACCAACCAAGGAATGATCCTTTCTCCAATACATACAACCCGGGATGGCGTGACCACCCCAATTTCAGATGGAGAGATGCACCACAATATGGCCAACAAAGTGGATTCCGACAACCCCCGGGTTTCTTTCCAAGGCCAATGGCACCACAACCACCTCCTCAGGCACAATCTTCCCAAACCAACCCAGGTACGTCTATGAATGATGATAAAACATATCAGTTACTAACCACCATGGCGCAGGGAATGCAGAACCAAGCAAAGGAGGTTAATGAGCTGAAGAAGCAAATGGGCCAAATGGCCGAATTTTTGGGGCAATTCCGTGAAAATGGTAAGTTACCAAGCACTACGGTGGTCAATCCAAAGGGTGGCTTCGAATCTGCAAAGGCTATCACATTACGAAGTGGAAAAGAGGTGAGAAACAAGGAAGATAAGAAGATACAACTCAAGGAAGATGAGAACACCTACCCCACGGCAAGGGTACCATTACCCATGCCGCAGCCATCTAAGACAT